TCCCCCCTCCTCGCCTTCATAATTTACACCTGAAGCTTATCATGCTTGATAAACAGAAGCCACTTCATACACGTATCTCTTGTACCACATGATATGAAACATTTTTCTTTATATTTTATTTATTGTTGACATGACAGATGTTCCCCATCTCCCCCCATATTCTTCTTGATCTGCACAATTTTCAGAAGCATTTTGAGAAGCCAAATGGACCGCAAGGAGCACTGCATAAACTAGTTAACTGCCATTTAAGAACAGTCTTGATCTATAAGTGAGTAATAGTTTGAAATTATTTGCTAGGATATAAAATCAGGTAAGATCCGAGCCAGGGTTGAAAATCAACCAAAATGACTTACAACTTGAGGAGGGCTGAGGGCCCAGAGTTCAGGACAGACTGCAGTTCACGGGCCCCAGGAACACGACACTCTGCGCGCAGACCCTCGCACCCGCAGCAAGACCGCGCAAAGCTATGTAAGAGAAAGAGTGTGCTGTCCTTCGAAGGAAGGAGTTACGGAAACTCCAAACCCACTCAGGCCACCAAAGCCAGCGCCCGGTCAGGAAATACTTCTCTCACGTCGGGCCTGGATGGGCCGTGTTTAAGACTGAGTTGTTCTGGCGCTGGCGGAGACAGCGGGCAACCGGCTACGATGTGAATACTAATTCATTCCAGGAACATCATGCTACCAAATAAAAACTTTCCTCTCTTACTTCTGAGCAGAACCACCCCACTGCTACTTCCCTGAATGCCATTTGAAAATGTCCATATTCTATCTGAACACAAGAGCATCAAAAATTCCCAGCTCAACACAGCTGGCTGGCCCGCCGAAAGGCACGTACGCCTGTGACGCCTCGGAAGCTGACGACCCACGCGAAGCGCCACACAGCCTCGGGTGCTCTGCCGCCGTCGCCACGGCAAGGGGCTGCTGCCGCCCACTGAGGCGGACGCCCGGGAGCGGCAGGGGTCACGCCAGTGGAAGGACAGAGCTGCGGGGCAGCAGTGTCGTAACGCTCATTTTTCACATGAATCGAAGACGCGAGAGGATTCGTGCTTTATCACATCTTTCTCTCACTTCACTTTGGAAAAGCCCCGTCGCTTGAGCTCCCCTGTGGGCCTATCCTGTCACAGCCTGAGTGGGGTGCTGGGTTCTCATCAGCAGACTGAAGGGGATGCAAGGGAAGCGAAGAACGGCAGGCGATGACCTCACTGGGCAGGAGAGGGGCAGTAAGGGCCGGAGGGCATGGGGCTTCATCGGGCCGCCAGGGTTTCCCAGGGGTCCTGTTGACGCCGTGTGGACAGTTCAGGGGTGTGCTGCCCACCAGGCTCTGGGTGATGGGTTTCCCTGGACTGAAAAGCATCCAGGTGTGTGTGTGTGGGGGGGGGTCCCAGGGCCGTGGGCTAAGATCCAGTCCCAGTGTGGTGACCAGAGGGGAAACCAAGGCAGGAAGGTCCTCATGCTTAGAGTGGGGGGGGGTGAGTCCTGCTGAGCTTGTGGGCAACAGTCCTCAATGCGCACAGAGGCGACCTCTGACTCAGGACAACTAAGGAGAAGAGCACAGACACCCCGAGGGGTGCTCACACGACACCCCCTCCTCCTGGTTATCCGTCAGCCGAGTCGCAGGGACTCATCAAAACAGTAACTTGGAAGAAAATGAAAAATGGCGGACAAAGCGTTCTCCAGGGTATGTCTCCAGTTACTTTTCTGAATGAATCCGACCAGGACCACTGCTGACCTTGACGGAAGGTGCGTGACCGGGAGAGAGCACGAGGAGGGCTCCGGGGTGCTGGCGATACCGAGTTCCCAAACCTGGGCGCCAGTTACGCGGGTTTCCTCACTTTCTGAAATTCACTGGGCTGCACACTGCCTGTCCTACCTCAGTGAGAGTGGGAGGGGGAAGGGAAGCAGGAAAGAAACACGGACAGACAGAGCCTACCACGCCAAGGGACTGAACTGCGGCTGTTAACGAGAACGCTAAGGCCATGGAATTTAATCTTTCGGATTTACTGGGAGGAAAAGGCAGAGGGACAACAAACAGAAACTTGCTGATTGTGTCCCCAAGGGAGATGGTAGTCTCTGGTTGAAGATTATCTTTAACCTTCTCTAGGATATAAATACTTCCAAGATATTTCTGAGTGAGAGAAAGTTCTGGGGAAAGGAAGTCTCAGATATAAAAAGGGCAACATTCCAAGCATCTCCAAAACAGGTTGTCTCTGGGAGCGCACAGAAGAAAACGCTGTGCGCGCGAGTCTGTCCTGCTCGGAGCAGCAGAAGTCCCTCCAGAAGAGCGGGAACATGGGAGAGGGCACAGGACGCCAAGAGCCCAGCTCCCCCGAGTACCCAAGGGTGATCCCAGGAGGGCTGAGGCTGGCGACAAAGCTCCAGCAGGGTGAATGCAGGGGCAGCCCTCCTAACTAACGCGTGGGACGGGAGCCAAGCAAAACCCAAACATCCACGTTTATTCTAGGAGGTTCCTTTCATTTGCCTTTGTTGCCTGGAAACCAACACTTGGTGGAAACATTATCCACTGGGGAGCGGAGCGCAGAGCAGGCCCTGAGACGGGTCCTGCCTGAGTTCCACGGAGGGCTCCGCGCGCCTGCAGCGGTCTGACCTCATTCCCACACTCCCCCCGTTTCTGCGAGGATCTCCTGGTTACTCCATTAGATTTGTATGAATGGGTGCGCCACATGCAAAAGTTTAAAAAACGTTAAAAAGAAAACAGCAAAATTTCTGGGAGGAAGGCAGGAGACTAATTAGAAAAGGCAGTCCATTCACTCCCACAGGAAGCAGCTTAAACAGCCTCACTCCCAGGACCTTTCTGGGGCTTTTTTTTTTAAAAAAATTTGAACTTATTGGGGTGACATTGGTTCACAAAACCATACAGGTTTCGAGTGTGCAACCCAACAAAACATCGTCTGCACACTGCATCGTGTGCCTGTCCTCTGAGGTGTTTCTTCAGAGCTGTGGAATCAGAGTTTTTTACTTTGGGGGAAATGTAACAATTTAAAGATCACAGAGCATAAAAGCAGCTCATTCCTCACTCTGCAGAGGAATCCTGGGAGGACCAAGCTTACTGTGATTTGGTGAGGAAAAATACAGAGCATGTGCACACACGTGTGTTCATTTGAAACCTCCACAAACACTGCCTCCATTCCCTTCCCTGCGCGGGGATGCGGGCGGATGTCTACACCTCTCCAATTCTAGGGTCTCCGTTCTGACCTCAGGCTGCCTGGTAAACCTGGCGTAGTCCGGCCCTGCACGTAGCCAGCAGTCCTTAGCCATGGACTCACAGAGACCTGCACACGGACTACTGGGGCCCTCTCTACACAGCTCCCTCCTTTCTGAACGCCACCATGGTCACTGCCTCCTCAGCGCAGGGGGCTGCGGTGCTCAGGCTGAACTGCAGGTCTCTGCACTGCGATACCCAATTGTTCCCAAGCACACGGCGTGACCATGGGGATGACCTTGTGAGTTTCCCTTCTTTCCAAGATTAGTCCTGTGCTAGCTGTTTAGAGGTAAGTTCCACTAAATTTAAAAGCCAAAATTTATTATTAGAAGAAAATATAGATGAAT